ATTTTTTAAATAGGGGTTTCCATTGCTTTTGCACCTCCTGTAACATAAAATGACTGTAACTCAGTCTGGAAAGCTATTATGAAGATAAGTACATATGGGGGTATATGAATACAAATACGAATATCCCCCACAGGTGGAGATAACGATAGTCCACTTATGATTCCGCTGCTGCCGCGAGCTCAACAGAGCTTTCCTATCACTCCATTGCTCGCGATAGCCACTCTGCGACCTGGCAGAGAGGCTCATCATCCTGCCTTCTGCCAGGACTGGCTAATCTATCGAGAGCAACAGAGCAATAAGAAGGCTCCATCGAGCTCGCGGCAGCAGCAGAATTGTGAGTGGGCTGGATCCTCATTATGTCCACCTGTAGGGGGAAATTCATATTAGTATATGAATACCCCCATCTCTAATGATAAGTGCAATTATTTTGACTAAAAGGGTTAGAACCCAGCAGTCTGAACTGCCTGTAATTTCAAGGATAGCCTATTCCAGAAAGAGCAATGCTCTGGCAATGGCATAATAATGACAGCAAGTTACATGTCCTGCAAATTCCATCTCTGGTTACATTACGTATTTCAACATTTTACCAATTATTTCAATACCTTTTTAATTATCTCCTTTGTTTTAATTCTACATTGAAGTGTCATCCAAGAATGAAATTATTTTGCTGGGCAGTGTTTTTATACTTTGCTCAGCTGGAGCTAACAAATTGTTTTGCAATGACTTTTAGTAAGCTGCTGTTCGAACTTCATTTTTAGAGCACAATGTACATTTTCAAGGCTGCTTTTTCTACACCTTCCTTAATTATTTTAACACAGTTATGTTCTCATCTTGACAGGTAAACATTAGCTTAATTGTGATAGTAAATTAGGATAGCTGTTGGAAATACCCATTCTTCCCACGGTCTGATTTTATCATTAATTTGGGATAGGGTTGAGGGAAAAATCAAAGGTTGGGACTGCAGCTTTGCTGTAAACTGATTGGAATTTATGTTGAGTCCTGTTGTTGCACGCAACACCAAGCCGTAGTGTGGCTTGAAGTGGTAACTAGTTTTTTGGGGTGGTTTCATCTGTTTGTTTTGTTTGTTGTTGTTTTACTCCTCTGGTTTATTTATACGCCACAGTTTCAACAGTAAATCTAGTGACTGGGGCTACCCCTTTACAAAACTATAAGCTTTAAGTAAAAACTAAACAAAAATGAAAGGGCTCCAAAGTGGGGTGAACGGTGGGGTGGGGTGGAGTTGAGAGGAAATGACAGAAGAAAGTGGCAGGTATCCTGTTTCTCAGCAGGTTCATGCCTCTTTGCAGATAACCAATTGCAAATTTCCTGATACAGGATTTTTTCAAAGGTGTTGTTCCAACCAAGCCAAGATCCAGCTTCTTTGGGACTTCAAGGGATACACATGAATTGGACAACACTGCTTCTTCCCATTGATGGGATTTTATGGTTCAGTTTTAACAGAAAGGGACATACAAAATTTTCTGAGGTCATCTACTTGACCCATCCAGTATAATGCAATAGCTTATTTTTCTTCGTCCAGTGCTTTTTGGAAAACAAACCAATGTAGTTTTGTCACCGAGAACTCTCCCTCCATATAATAATAATA